ATATATGGACAAATGTTAGCATATGCAGCAAACTTAAACTAAAGGTTAACAACTTAATACAGTCTGATTTTATTGACCTGTCAATTATGAATACATTATAGCACTCATTTAAATATGCGATCCCACTTTTTTGTCCGTTTATTTTACGAGAATTAATATGGAGTATAATTATATAACTAACGTTTGAAAAACTGCCGCAAGCTTAATGAAGTGCTCTCATAACATCTGCAATAGCGCAGTGGGTTAAGTGATTACCTATTGCATGAGAGGTCTGAGGTTCGATCCCTTTTTTGACATTCTTTTTAGACTTATCTTTCTTTATTTTTAAGTATATTTTAATGAAAATTGTCAAGCGCTTGCAAAATTGTCTACAAGGATAATTATAAAAACAACTAAGAAACACTGAATTGTCACATTTTGTATTGTATTTTACGGCACTGAAATTACATTTATTGATTTTAATCCGAATGAATATTAAGTATTAATTCTTAAACAATGTTATAAACAAAAGTATAGTATTTACAAAAAAGTGCAAAACATATTAAAAACGGAACAACCATAACTTCAAAAATGTTGAAAATACTTATGAATTAGAAAAAAAATGGACACTGTCTCGATCTTACAACACGTTGGACATTCAGATAAAATATACCCGTGGTTTACCCTATTGCTCTATAACGCTCACTGTAACTAATTCATAGAAACTAGATGAATGTAATCACATCTTAAACTACTTACCTCTCACGGAATTTACCGAACATTTATCAAATATTAATATATTCTGTGCATTGACCGTATAATCAGTATGGAATTGACAGGTTAATAAAATCAAACAACAGTTCAGGTTAACTGGTTTGATAACGTGAGCACAGATCCATTTGCCTGTATAACTTGTTAGCTAACTTTATAAGATTAAAGGACTTATTCAAGAAACCTCTATAATTGAATAGCTTTTATTAAGATTCATGATAGATTTAGGTATAACTATATATACTTCACATATGATCTAGATTTACAGACCTTTTCCTCAACAATTTTGGGAATGCCACAAATACCATTGGAATTTGAGAAAAAAAGTGTTGTAAAAAGTCCAAATTGTAAATTTAGAAAATTCAGAATATTACACCTGTTAACAGAATAACAGCATAGTTACAGCACACAATAATGTGTACTTGATTATTTCCAAGTTCTGCTAAATTTAGATTCTATCCAATTAAAGTAGCTAACAGAAACTGCTGAACACAAAATAATTTTTTTTTAAAAGCAATTAACAGGTTCCATCAGGATTGTCATTAGTATTCTTGTTTTCTTGTAATGTATTATAAGTTACTTCAAGTGATTCCCTTTTCAATGAAAGTACCTTTTAAAAGAAAATCGGGCAACAAAAACAAGAAAATATTATGTTTATAATGCATCAATTTGGGAATGCATAGTTTTCTGAGACTTGAATTTTCTATGTTTTGAATGGCCCAAAATGAATTTGAGATGGTCGTCTTTGCCTCCAGCGGCTGAACTTAATGACAACTCTTAGATTGGCTCAGTTTACTGGTAGTAATAAGGAAAGCAATGTCTGGCTTAAATGAATTAACTCAAGCCTACATGTACACATATAAGTTATTAATGGCTGTCTCTGGCAGTATTAGCCTCAGGTCTTAGCCAGTGGACATCTTTTAAAGTGATTACTAGATTTACTAGGTTTTTAATTTCTGCTAAACAGGATTTATTCTACATTTTATGTATCATTTACGAGTATTCAAAATAAAATGGGAAAGGTTAATATAATAAATGAATGTAGTTAATACTTTGTATGTAGAAATTGTCAAATTTTACTCACTTGAGGCAGTAAACATAGGTTTAAATACTTAGATGTAAGTAGGTTTGAATACTTAAAAATAAGTATGAAACTGAAATACCAAAGAAGTATTGGGCAAGCCTGATTGCAACCATTCTAATTTTCTCTGGTAGAAAACAGTTCTTCAAATAGAAAAAAAGAAAAATGATTCGCTGATAAATTTAAAAGAGAAAATTAAGCTTTAAAAATTGTATAAAATTGTACATAAGTTTGTTAGCTTTTTAAATCTGATTCTTTTGTTAAAGTTGTAGTTTGTTATGCATATGTACATTTAGTTATATTTAAATAATTTTAAGTGATATTATTTATGAACTCAGGGGTTAATGAACTTCGAGAATACCAAGTATGAGATTACCCCCTTTAACTTAATTATTAATTTTGGAGATATTTGAAGTTGGCCAGTCAACAGTATAGAACCTGGTTAGACTGCATGGAATTTGCAGACTGCCAGTATCTCCATACTGGAAGCAAAGTGGCTATTAAATCAATTTCAGTACCAGCACAATAAAGATGTAATTATATAATGACTATTCCTATAAAAGATCTGAGTTCTACAGCAGTTTATAATGCAGAGGTCTATGTAACTTTACACATAACATTGGTACACTATCAGAAGGAGAGTGAAGCTTGTTAATTTCAGTCTTTTCATTAATTTCTTCCCCCAGATATAAATCTGCTTTAAATGTTAAATAAAGACCTATCATGTATGAATTGATGCTCATATGATGTCAAAAATAATAATTACTTGTCCAGCAAATTATGTATGCTCCTAATTAAACATTTTATATGATTAATAATTTATTTAATGAAGAAAATTATAGGGGTTTAATGTCCGAATTTATCACACATAGTCATGTGCCCTGTATTCTATGTAAAAGGCACATGTCATGTGTTTAATTTTTTTAATCTTTCCCTAGCTGCTATAATTATGACAGTTAAAATAATTGTTTCATTACTGATCACATTTCATCTGCTTTGTAAGATAATCATGCAGTGTCATGTGGTGTCACATGAACAGATGTTTTGAAGATAGATTTAGATATAAATTTTTAATAAAGTTTATGGGCATATAACCTAATTAAATGAGTTAAATGAATAATTGCTTAAACCACATGAATAAGTAACATTTGCTTTAAATCAAAGTAAAAGTTTTCAAGTATTTTTTAATTAGGAAATAGATATCAATTCTGAGTGCATTGTTGTAGAATAATGCACGGTTTGAGTTCAAATGCGTAGTAATATAATCACGAAGGCCGATAGGCCTGAGTGATTAATTACAAAGCATTTGAACGAAAAATGGCATTATTATACAATAATGCACGAAGAATAAATATCTATTTCCATTCTAACACGTCAAGAAAAAATATAATTATTATTATAAAGTTGGACTCTATGTTTGGTGGTTTAATTTGTTTTCGCCTCAGAGTTTCCCATAGAAACGTTCTTTAAAGGCTGTCCCAGTTGGTTGAAAAAAGCTGTCGATAAATCTACCGTGTGTAGAAACATTTTGAGAAAAACAAATTTTGAAAACGTTGGTAAAACTTTGTTTGTTTATTTTATTTCACTCTATAATTTTTCAAGCGAAATACAAATTTTTAAAAGTGAAATAAATGTGAAACTTAACTTGTTTGCGACATTAAAATAGCGTACTTGATTTGGTTGTTTGCACGTGCTGTTTGGCGCTATATTGTGACGTCACGTAAACAACACTTTAAACGCCTGTACAGCGTTAACGACTGAATTAAAGATATTGGTGTTCGGATTCATTTTCTTAGTAAGACCATTTTCTTTCATTCTAGATAGCTTTCATAACAAAATTCGACAAAAAATGTTTTTATTTATCAGATTTTTTAAACAAAATGGCGCCCTCAATGTGAAAATACACAAGGAGGTAATAAGAACGGCGAGTGCATTGTTGTAGAATAATGCACGCTTCGGGCCTTCTTTGTCTATATAGAAAAAAATCCGATAGTGTTAGAATTTAAAATAATGTTTAGGATGAGAATTATTTTGCATGTTTGTTTTTATGTTGCATTATTTTGATAACATTCCTCAAGAAGTAAAGATAGGTCTGTATGATTGGGTACCTTAAAATAAATTAAAGTAGCTGCATGCATTTATATAATTGCAACAGAATTGATGACTTTCACTCAACTTTGTCAATTTGTCTTTATAGTCTTTCTGATGTTGGGTTTGATCCTAGACCTATACTGTCATTAAGATAGTTTAATTAAAGGCAGACTATATCATTTGATTATCAAATTACTTTTGTGTATATTGAAGGATTGCAGCAAAATCCAGAAAGTCTTTTTCTATAATTTTTCTTTCTGATCAGAAATAAAAATATATATTTTAATATAATTGAATTTTACTCATATTGAAGTATATTAACCCATTACTTCATGAGCATTTTGTGATAAATGGCTGTTTTCATTGAAAAGTCTCCCGTTACAAGTTCAAATTGCTATAATACGATAAAAACTGCTTCAACACTAATCAAACTTGGCACAAATATTGACTGGACCATTGCCCTTGCAACAACATGCTCAGGCTTAAATTTTCTGTTACCATGGCAACGAGGGGACATCTCAAAATTGCCGAAAATCACTATTTTGCGTTGATTTTTTCCAACATAATTGATTTCAAAGTGCTGCAACTTCTCAATGGATTGAGATAGAGTCAAATGCTTTTCAGCGTTGGTTACACGTTACCTTATGAACAATCTGAGGTCATTTATAGCCTCTCACAAGTCCAAAATTTTCTTGGCGATGAGGGGGACTCCGCCCCCCTTCAAACCCCCCAAACAGAAGGGGGCACATCCCCCTTCTGGCAACCCCCTGATGTATCTTTTGGTTGGGGGGCCGCGCCGAAAAAGTGGTCACTTTTTTTAACAACATTTCTCAAACAAAAACAAGTGTTGGGGGCCTAAATAAGGCATTTTTTCACCATTTGAGACAACAAAAAGGGGGGGGGGGGGGAAAAAGGCGTTAAAAGGCGTGTATATGAAGTAATGGGTTAAAATAAAAAATGAAATATATTTATGATAATCTTATCAATTTCCCCATCAATCATAATGAACCATTAATGTACTAGAATCTTAGTATTTTTTTTACAATCATGGTAAAATGTCTGATTTTTTCAATTTCAGCCTTCATGTACACAGAAACCATGTATACAGTTCCAAGGAAACCAAGGGGTATGTTACTTTCTTCATTCCATTCATCACTTTTTACTTTTCTTTAAACATAATGAATTTGGTTCAGATCCCGAGAGGGACTTTGGATTCTTTCATGTGAGGAAGCTATCCAGCTACAACATGTAGCTTATGGAATGTCGGTGGTTCTACTCAGGTGCCCGTTTGTGCCTGAAATAATGCACGGAAGGGCACCTGAGGTCTTCCTCCACCAGTAAAGCTGGAACGTCGCCGAACGACCTATACTGTGTCGGTGTGACGTAAAACCCAAAACACAACAAAAAACAAATAAACATGATGAAATATTTGAAAGACTAAGTCCTCTAACATTAGAGGATGAGGTCAAAGAGTCAAAGGTCGACTAAACGCCGACCTGACCATTATCACCTAAAGATTATAAGAACACACTTACTTACAGACTTAAGATTTGGTGGTGATGTTGGACAAAGTTGACAGTTAAAATGTCCAGTTAGCAGGACTAGTTGGTTACCATTATAAGGGGTGGGGGCATTTATCTTTTCATCTTTTACAAACATTTTCTGCAAGTTTTATTATTAGATAAGTTCTGTGATTAAGTGCTTACATGTGTGTTACCTGAAGTCACTTTAAAGTCCTCACAACATTTTTACTTCAAATATTTTTCTAATTTTTTCTTAAATATTTGCATAGATCAGTAGTATTCTGCTTTAAAAAAAACATAAAAGAAATGTTTTAATGTCAGCTACTGATAATAAAAGACTGTACCCTGTTAATTGTGCTATTTTGTTGACTAATTTCAGAGTATCCAAATACCAGAGGGCGGGGACAGCTTAAGAACGTTTCATTTCTCCCTCTCAGCAATACAGGGCGACCCTAACGGAAGTTTTGATGCAGTCTGCCAGACCAGTTCAAGGTGAGATATATTTAACAATGTAATTTTTGTCACAAATGACTTGATTTTGAATTTTACATTAATATACGTAAATAACCTTTCGTCTAGCTGATAGAAGATGAAGTCTCCTATACATATACCTGTTAAAGTATCTTCCTACTCGACTGTTATTGCAAATTCTGTTATGTTACAATATCTTTTAACCAATGTCATCTGAAATGGAGAACAAAGGAAAATGTACATCGTTTTAAAAAACAGATGTCAGCTGGTTTTAATGATAAAAACAAATTAGATATAAAAATTTTGTAGTGCATTGTATATGTTTATTTGTTTTAAGGAAACTTTGTGTGTTTACTACAGAAATATAGTGCTGCATTGGTTAATTTAATACATTGTTTACTTTATCCATGCCTATATTTGGTTATTTACATCAAGTTTAATGTCCTGAGTTCACCTCTGTCTGTACATTTTCTTATCTCTCACACAGATTTGTATAAACATCATGATTCTTTTACCCTTTGTCTTAACTTCCATTGATAATCTTCTATTATTTTTATGATCACAGAATAAAGAAAATTTATACTCAAATATAGCAAAAACATGGTAGTAAATAGAAATATTTATATTTTATTTTTTCTAGAGCTTGTATATGTTTAATATATCATAATTATAAAATGATCCTGTTCTATCATGTTTACTGAGTAGACATGTAATATCTGAGTATATCTCTGTAAAACAGAATATCTCAGGGGTAGTCTTGACTGATAATTTTGACTAGGTTAAATGTCATTGGTTGTTTGACCTTTAACTTCATAATTGAACATAAAGCATAATTACGATGATGTCCGTGGAAATAGTGTTAAAATACCCCTCTTTTATAATTTGTATGAAATTTGTAGGGCAAGTTATTATTTTGCTATACTGGGAGGAGTTTTGTAAACAAACTGTGTGATCATAGGATGTGTTTATTTACACAGTCCGTTATAACATGCTGTGGTCAATTGTAGTGCTTATAATAAGATAAATTTATTTACATGCACTTTGACAAAGAAAAAATTTGGTTTTAAGTCACCTTGACACTTAAAAGGTTATATGGCAACTTCCAAACTTTTAAAGGTGGAGAGTCCCCAAGAATCCTTACGTGCATTATTGCAGGCATGAGTAGAACAACCATATTTCAATCTAGCAGGATAGCTTCCTCATGTGAAAGAATTTGAATGACTTCAGTGTAAGGTTAAGGCCAAATTTAACTGAAATATCTTTTATCTAGTTTGCTTCTGCACTGAGCTGAAAACTGTGTGATAAATTATGCCTAATTTATTGTTTTATACACCATTCAATCCCAATAGATAGTTTGTGAAGTATTAAATTAAGTAAAGAGTGTAGAGGTTTTCAATGTATAAATTTTGCAAAATAATCAAATCAGTGGTTGATAGTAACCAGTATACATAGCCAATATACCAAGCCCTTATAGCCAGTACACCTAGCCCTTATAGCTAGTACACCTAGTTCTCCTAGCCAGTACACCTAGCCCTCATAGCTAGTACACCTAGCCCTTATAGCTAGTACACCTAGTTCTCCTAGCCAGTACACCTAGCCCACATAGCTAGTATATCTAGCCCTCGAGGCTAGTAAAGGTAGCCCTCATAGCCAGTGCACCTAGTCCTCATAGCTAGTACACCTAGTCCTCATAACTAGTAAATCTTGCCCTCATAGTCAGTACACTTTGCCCTCATCGCTAGAACACCAAGCCCTCATAGCCAGTACACATAGTCCTCAAAGCTAGTACACCTAGCCGTCATAGCTAGTACACCTAGCCCTCCTAGCAAGTATATCTAGCCCTTGTAGCTAGTACACCTAGCCCTCATAGCTAGTATACCTAGCCCTCATAGTAAGTATATCTAGCCCTTGCAGCTAGTACACCTAGCATACCAAGTCCTCATAGCTAGTATATCTAGCCGTCATAGCCACTAATCATAGCCGTCGTAGCTTAGTATTCCTAACCCCCTACTGAGTTATCTAGACATGCTGTTAAATAAAGAATTGGGTTTCAGTAACTAAACAAATTTTACTGAAGAAGAAAGGAAATAAATGACTGGTTTGTAAAGGTGTCTATTTCCGCATTGTCTTTAGATAACATATGGACGGGAAATGTGACAGAAGTTATGATTATGTAATATTTAAATGTCTGTAAACAGGACATGGAAAGATAATGTTGGTTTTTCTGTTAGAGATCAAATATTTTAAGTGAATGTGTAGTGTAGGAAGGTTTCAATATTTCTTCTTGTTGTTCCAGTTGTTGATTTGTTTGAATTTAAGAGGAAGCAATATTTGGCTGAAGGGTTCGCTTAAGTTGGTCACATGACTTAGAAACCAATTATGAATATTTTTGTTTAAGGTTAACCGTTTTCACAATAAAATAAATCCAAATCTTCATTGCAGTTTATGAAAGTTTGATTGTTTGTTAATTATAGTTTTTGTCTGAACAGTTTTCCTTATGAGGCCTGTTTGAAATTAAAATGTCATGGCTTTCAGCCTTGAATCACCTAGTGATAAACTGACAAATGTTTTTGTTATACTGTTGAGTCGGCAATTTTCAGATTAATATCTTGGAAGTAGTTTACCTGTCTTTATGAAGAAACAATTGTGTGGTTTTGTGAAGAAATTCTTTGAAGAGGGTTGCCTTTATGTGTTGAGGCATCAAAATTGTAGTCATCGTTCAACCCAGTACTTGATAGTAAGAGGCGATTAAATGGGTTGAAATTATTTGAGTCTATGCATCTCTTAGCTCCAACAGGTGAGGTGATTTTGACCCCTGGTGTTGCTTCAAGTTTGTAACACCCGAGGTTCGCCAAAATCATCTTTCCTGTGGTGCATTGAAAAACCAAACAACAGAAAACAAACATTTATTTGTTTAAAATTATTGCATTGCTAATTACGAACATTTATTTTGTTTAACAAACATTTATTTGTATAATTTTATGGCATCACAAATAACAAACATTTATATGTTTTATTTTATGGCGTCGTATGTAACAAACATTAATTCTGTATCTTTTTAAAGATGCAGGTCATTGTTAGCTGGTGAAATAAACAGTGGTTATATTATTGCTGGTAAAAGAAACTCCTAAAGAAAATGCAATATTGTTAAGTGTGTGAATGAATTATTCATCAATTTGTTTTTGAAAGGGGCTCCACTGAGGTTTTTGACATGACGGGACTGGAAATATTTTTTCTTGATTTGCATACCATTTGAAAGGATCTTGGGCACTTGAAACTTAGTACTTACTTATGTGTAATGTTTCAAATAAATTCTCTTACTTTTTTTTTACAAGAATAACTCAAATTGGTCTAAGAATCCAACAATATGATTATTTTCAATTTTTAGACATTTGATTGTGGTGAAGCTCCTTTAAAAGTGTGCCAGTTTTCATTTCTCATCTCAAAGCAACATTAACTGCTGCAGTGCTTATTATAAAGTTATATTTTTAAATCACTTCAAATAATTGTACGATTTTCCTTCAGTTATTGAAATTCCTAGTGATAATAATTCTTAAGTTACAGTTCTATTTTTGATGTTGACATTTGTGTTGCTTGAAATATAAGGAAATTATGAGATATATTTTACTTTGTAATCAATGTGGTGAAGCTGTTTATGCTTCATCTTGCGAGTTTATTTCAAAATAATCAGGTTCTAATGTAATATTTGTTTCAAAATCAGTCAGTTATAAATTACCTTGTTTGGTTTTGTCTTGTTTTTCCCCTGGTTTTGGCCTTGAGAAATGATGCAGAATATTAACAAAGATTTACAAAATTGTCCAAGAATTAGGGTAGGAAAATTATTATTGTGTCTGGAGAAATTACAGTATTGCAAGTGTCCTTACCATAATAAAAAAAGTTTGTCCTGGGTTCAATATAGTACATGTCTAAATAATACATTTGTTAATAAAAACCATACCAAAATATGATCAGCTTTGCCACCAGTAGAGAGCAATGCCAGTCTGCACATCTGAGACATTGACTGTGGTGGACCAGCAAAGTTTGGAAATTTAAAAAGTGCCATTATCATTATGGTGCTTTATTTGCTGGGGCCTAAGCCCCCTCTCTCCCCCCCCCCCCCAAAAAAAAAAAAAAAAAAAAAAAAAAACAAAAAACACACACACACAAAAACAAAAAAAAAAAGAAGGAAGGAAGGAATGAATGAAGTTATAATTGAAGTGTTATCATATATATTTTCAGGAATGGTAAGCCGCTTGTATTAGAGGGCAGTATGACAAACAAGATTCAAATCCATGCCACCAATGAATTGTTCAAAGCTACAAAAGATAGAGTGACGCAAGCAGAGTTAGACAGTAAAAAAGTCAGGTACGTACATTTGTCAGTCTTTGGAATTTTTGATGAAGACGATGTTACATCAATGAGATTTTGTCATGAATCCTTACTTGCTGAATTTATGTATTTGAAATTGCACTGGTTTGAATTGTGAATAGGTTATTATATAAGTTTATAGGGATTTCAATTTCAAACTTTAAAAATGTGGCTTTCAACAATAAAGGGTTTGGTCGGATGGGACATAGGTGCAAGCTGGTCTCCTGGCTCTGTACTGGTAGCAAAGACTTAGCTTATTTGATTCCACCAAATGAAAAATGTTTATTCATATCAGTTTAAATACCATGAACATTTGATTGAAATTGATTTTGTTAACTGAAATATTGATCAAAAAAACTATTTTAAGTCAATTATTAGCTATTACTCCCACTTATTTTGTGAAATATTCATGTTTAGTTTCAAAATTTAAAACATTATATAAAGTATTCTTCATCTTTTGGCCAGTGCATATTCAAAATAATAAATTTTGCAGTGTAGTTTTGGGTATTTCAAGAGAGAGAGAAAGAAAAATTTTACCAGGAATGTATATGATCTTGTAGTACAAATATGTTACTGACCATGCTCAATACAAGTCACTCAGGCTTGACAATAAATAGGCTATATTGAGCCGTCTAAGAGCAATAGAGGGAGCATTACATTTGTCCTACAGGTGTTGCTGGCCAGGTGGAAATTTCTGTATGACAGTTGTCTTTAGATAATTAGAATTTGTTTCTCCATGCTGATTCAGAAATCATGTGAGATAAGTAGCCAGTCCCTGCAGGAAAATTGGTATTTACTGGTTAGTTATCCAGGAAATGGGTTTAGTGGATTGACGGCCGAGATTTGACCTATTTTTGCCTGATTTGATACATTGCTATTGCATAAATAAAAATATAGGAACTTCTTTTCCTGAATTTTTCCAACATTATTTTACTATGTAAATTCTGATGTTTATACACTAAAATTGCTGTGAAAAGATTTTCAAAATTGTTATTGCCTGTGGTGGCTCTATCTGAAAAGGTTTAATTGTAAATTGCTTATTTAACAGCACCAAAGAGTACAAACCCAATGGACCTCATATGAGCCGGAAGAAGACAACAGTAATTCGTAACCCACATCCTTCCGTTACAGCCAGACATCAGCCAGTACAACCGTCAAAACCAAAGCCTTCTACAGCACCCCCTGTTAACTTTAGCAAACGACCTTCACCCTCGTATGGGAGTCATGGTCATGCTGTATCGCCACACAATCCTGCTACGTCATCCAAACCTACATCACCAAGTCTGTCTTCTCATAATTCAGGTCCTGCTAAAACTGTGGGAAACCCAGCTGTTATGTCAATGCCATACAGGTAAATAATTGTCAAGTTATAGACACCAAAAATGTACATATCTGGCTAATAGACTTTTGTTATTCTGTGACTGAGTGTCATTAAAGCTTGTGCTCAAATTTCCCTGCAATGAAACATGAATTATAAAAAAAATATTGACTGAGAAATTGTGCCGATTTATTAATTTTATAAAGTTATATTGGTAAGCAGTTAGAGAGTTTTGTATGATACTGTTCTGGGTTTCCACAAGAAACTAACAATTTTCAAGTACACAATCATTATCTCTGAATTCTTTATAAAAGACTTGAAACTGGCATGATGTATATAGCTGTCTATATAAGAGTTGTTGAGAAAAGTTGTTATGAATTTGTTTCTTATTTAATCTTGATAACAATCAAATTGAATCCTTCTTGAAAGAAATGAAAATGATAAAAAAACAACAACGAAACAAAAAACAAACAAATGTTGTAACATCTTGATGTCTAAATAACAAAATCAACCAGCTAAAGCATGCAATTGAATGTTATTGGGGATATTCTTAACCTTGAAATAATAAAGGTTCTTTAAAACAAAATGTGCTTTTCTAATTTTCAAGTTGCTTAAACAAAAATGAAAAATTTGACCAGAAGCAGTGTGGTAATAACAATAATAACAAGTTAAGCCATCTAGTTAAGACCATACAAAGGTTGCTTCCCAAATCATACAACTTACAAAGTTTGCTAAGTCTTGCAGTAGTGATCATACAAGGGTTGTTTTCCTAGTTTTTGTGTCGCCTCTACGGAGTAGTGGCGACATATAGGGATCACTTCTCCGTCGTCTGTCTGTCCGTCTGTCCGTCTGTCTGTCTGTCTGTCCGTCTGTCTGTCCGTCCGTCCGTCACAAAACTTGTCCGGACTACTCCTCATAAACTACTTGTGCAATTTCATCCAAACTTTACAGGAATGATCAGTACCAAGTCTAGTTGTGCATATTGTCAGGATTTTCCGGTTCAATGATTTTTGTCAGAGTTATGGCCCTTTAATAATTTTTAATTTTAAAGTTTGTCCGGACTACTTCTCTTATACCACTAATGCAATTTCAATGAAACTTTACAGGATTGATCTGTAGCTCAAGTCCTTGCGCATATTGCACGGGTTTTCCGGTTGAATGATTTTTGGCTGAGTTATGGCCCTTTGATAAAAAGGTTTCTTTTTCTGTGTGTTGCCAGATACACAAAAGCTTGTCCGGACTACTCCTCATAAACTACTGGTGCAATTTCATCCAAACTTTACAGGAATGATCAGTACCAAGTCTAGTTGTGCATATTGTCAGCATTTTCCGGTTCAATGATTTTTGTTTGAGTTATGGCCCTTTAATAATTTTTATTTTTAAAGTTTGTCCACACTACTTCTCTTATACCACTTATGCAATTTCAATGAAACTTTACAGGATTGATCTGTAGCTCAAGTCCTTGCGCATATTGCACGGGTTTTCCGGTTGAATGATTTTTGGCTGAGTTATGACCCTTTGATAAAAAGGTGTTTTTTTCTGTGTGTTGCCAGATAAGCAAAAGCTTGTCCGGACTACTCCTCATAAACTACTGGTGCAATTTTATCCAAACTTTACAGGGATAATCAGTACAAAGTTGTTAGTCTAGTTGTGCACTGTCCGTCTGTCTGTCCGTCTGTCACAAAATTTGTCCCAACATGAAATTGGCCATCATGAGGCGACACATGTGATTACTGATCGCTCTTGTCTTATAATAGAGATCATACAAGGTTGTTTTTCCTAGTTTAATAAGAGAAGTTATACAGTCTTATAATAGAGATCATACAAGGTTGTTTTTCCTAGTTTAATAAGAGAAGTTATACAAGTCTTCAAGACTAATAGAGATCATACAAGGTTGTTTTTCCTAGTTTAATAAGAGAAGTTATACAGTCTTATAATAGAGATCATACAAGGTTGTTTTTCCTAGTTTAATAAGAGAAGTTATACAAGTCTTATAATAGAGATCATACAAGATTGTTTTTCCTAGTTTAATAAGAGAAGTTATACAAGTCTTATGATAGAGATTATACAAGGGTTGCTAAATCTTATAGAGATCATGGTAAGGTTTCCAAGTTTAATTATAATAGAGATCACACAAGACTAGCTTGGCGAGTCATGTTATAGAGATCATTGAATAGAGATCAACACATTTAAAAAAAAGAGATCATGCAGAAGTTGCTTTCCAAATCTGATAAGAAAGATAACCAAATTTTGAAATAGAGATCATACCAAGGATTATGATAGAGATCTTGCATTAGAGGTCATGCCATGGATAAACTCTAAGTCTAATACAGATGGTAAAAGGATCTATTAGACCAGTATTGTCAACTGCCTTATTTAATAGAGATAAATTTCTTTAAGTCGGTATGAATATTTAATATATAAAACTGGAACAGCTACAAAAAGAAAACAACAAAAAATGTAAACATATTTAGGTGTCATCCATCATTTGATTGATGTACGTATAATTACAATGTTTTATGTAGATAAATTAATGTAACAGCTGATCCTTGTATATCATATGTTAGTTAATTAGCTTTTGGTTACTGCTTGTTATGCTATTTGTATAGTTATACTTTTTAATGTTGTCAAGATATTTTACATAAAATTTGACAGTTGATAGGTATAAGACTATGATCTGCTTTTAGAATAGTCTGATTGAAAACTTGTGTATAAATTTTGAATGAAAATGTTCAGCATTTTCATATTTAATCTAAATTTGTCTTTAAAGTTTCATACTGTATTTAATTAAATGATAAATTTATCCATTTCGTTAATTTTTTGGAATGAGCTTGTCCCTATTTAAAGTCTGAACTGCCTGTTAATAAGTCCGGGTTTGGTATCAAAATGCAAAACATTTGCGGACAAAAGTATAAAGTCTGGTTGGGTACAAAAATGCAGACTCAGGCCTTCTCCTGGACTGGTGTCATATATACATGATAGACATATAAGACATGTACAAAATGCACATGGTCCCTTAATATAATCACTTGATATCAAAGGGCTGATAATCAAATGTTTATGTTGATACATTGTTTAAAATCCAACATCTGGCAAATGAGTTTTAATTAATTTCACAAAATATTTAAAATTTGGCTGACATTATTATGATTGGTGAGCGTATCAAATTTGTAATTTAGATGAACTGGCCAACACTTTATTATGACTTACTGCTTATTTTTATGTCAAAAATGAGTTATGTAATAACTGACAATTTTTGGCAGCATTTATTTAACCATCGTGATATGCAGTGGAAATGGAAACAAGTAATAATTATCATAGAGTGGTTATATGAAATTTTTTCGTAATATAAAAACAATCATTTGCAAAATAACTTGAATTTTACTATATTGTAAATTTCATCATTTGTTAGATACAGTAAACTCCACTCATAATGATATTGCTTATAACAATATACAGCTTATAACAATGCTGTTGCCGCAGTCCCAACTCTTGTTTTCAAATTGGTTGTCTCTAGGATATGATGATATCTGGAAATAACGATATAAATTTGGCATCCCCTGACTATCGTTATAAGTGGAGTTTATTGTAGTTAATGATCCTTGTTTCATACTTGTTTATCATTTCTTTCTTGTAGAGATCGGATAATACATCTTCTGGCTATACGGCCCTACAAGAAGCCGGAGCTTATTATACGACTTAGAAAAGGTAAAACAATACTTTTCTTTACAATGCTTTCATTCATTTTCCAACAATAGAGTTTGTGTAAATGAATTGCTTTGCTTTTAATTCAGAACTTTTTCAATGACTTTTAAGATACAGATATGAACAGCATGGTAAAGGGAAAGAGTGCTACAAGGACTACAAAACGATTCTACTTCAATAAATAAGATTAAAGGCCCATTATGACCCAGAAATACATCTTATTATATTTTTTCAAATTTTCTCTAATTATACTTTTGCTTTTTTATTAGCGTTCTGTCTTGTACTTTTTAAAAAATTACTCATTGGCCATTTACCAGAACCGTCCTTTGCTGATGTTGCATTTTTGGGCACTAAGAACTTTACTATTACAGTGATTTAGTATTTTGTATGGCAGTCAGACTACAACTTTGTTTACATTTTACTACTTTCAACAACTAATTTGCAACAACTAATTTCACATTTAGCACTACTGAAGTCAGGTGATAAGCATTTAACATGATCTAAAATCATTATTCAGATGTTATAAAACTCGAGTTTGACATTTCTAAAGAGTTCAGAAATTATTTGTTTTTGAGACAAATGTGCTTTTAATGGAAAAAGGGAGCACATACCAGTATTCTCTTAATTGAGCATATTTACCGAGGGAAAAGTGGCATCCTTATGCCAATACTTTATCATATAGACATATTTTTAATTAACCAAACAAATGTCTTTTTCAAATTAAGATTGAAATAAAAGATGGACAAGTCCATTTAAGATGTTTAGCATGTAAAGGGTTTAAAAACAACACCAAATAGAACAACAAGACAATATACAAGACTTACTTAATTTCACAATTTCTATAAAGGTTTTATGCTACTATTGACAACAGTTCATTTTAACATTTAAAAAATTAAACAGGGGCTAAAACATGAGACATCATAGAACAGGTTTAAAAGGTACGATTTTAAGACATGTTTTATGATGTAGAACATGCAGGTTAAAACAGTTCGACTGATAACAATAAGCACAAGTGTAGAATGTACTTTCTGAACTTATAGTAAATAAATGGCTAATGTAATGAATTAACTGACATTACACTTGGTTGCTCCTGTTGATGCAAAATGCGTTATTCCTTTCAGAAGAAGCACAAACTTTGATCTCTTGTCCCCTAAATATTGTTGTGGATAAGATTTGTGAGCTATTTAAGTATTTTAAGTGCTAGATTTAGTTTGCAGGTCCGTTTTTTAAATACATGTACCTAGAATGAAAAGTGTCATTTAATAACAGGTTGCAAAGACAAACAAATTTTGTAATATCATCACAATATATAGGACATTTTTGGGTTAACATTTCTCAAAAACATTTTTCAGGCCTCTTTTATTTGTATTTATAGAGGGTTGTCAGATTTTGGCTGCTAATTTACCTTAAAATTGTCAATGACATTTGATAATTGATAGGTCAGAATGGTTATGGTAAAATATTATCCCAATTAGGCCCAGGGGGCAATGTTACTGTTGTCAAATATTACTTCAGGCTTTTTTGCATACACATTTTTTTTGACAGCTTTAACATTTTTCAATGATCAACTGGCTAAAATGACTTCAAAGGTGCATTGATCACGAATTTACTTCCTTCATAGTATTAAAGTTAGGGGAAGTGGGGTTGCAAGTTAATGATAGATGATGTAGACAAAGTAGTTTACACAACCAGGGTATTTGTTAGTCCAGCGAGTTATATTTTGCTAATTTTGAACAAAGTTTAATCATTTATTCTGCTGTTTTTTGCCCGACTTTTTTAAGATAAGGAGAGCTGTTTTACTCACCCATGTGTCGGCGTCACACTTTAGTTAAGTTTTTTGCATGCAAGTTGGTATTTTAAAAATACTGAAGGAATGGGTTGGAACTTCACATATACTTACTTGAGAGCATAAAAGGAGGTCACTGTCCAAGGCCATTAACTCTAACATGGAGTTTGACTGAAATATGGCCTTTTTTTAACTTAAAAAATTTCTACATTGTTCAGGCTCTAATGTTTTACTATAAAACACTGGGAATAGTTGAGTGCATTGTCCTTCTGACATCTCTTGATTTTTTTTTTTAATTGAATATTTTTAAATTGAGTATTTTTGAAAAAATAAAGTTTAATGTTTATTTTCAAGTTTAGGAAAGTTCACTGCATTTTTACAGGTTTAAACACTCAGAGTATTTGTTCATCTGTGTATTTATTTAGCATTTAGCTTGTTCAGTATCTAGGCGTGGAAAACGTGCACTTACTTGATGAATTGTTTAATGATAGTTTGCATGGTAATTATTTCCCATTAATTTATGATTATTAATTCTTAGAGCTCATCACTTAGCTCTTTATATAGGGGAATACATATTGAAGCCTTAAATAAAATAGTAAATGAATAAATTTAAAAAAAAATCTAAATTAATATCAGTTGTTTTGCACATTATCATTTTACAATGGGCGCTACTTATGTGTGTTTTATCTTAAACTTCTTGGAGTGAAATAAACTTGTGTATAATGGGTTCTTGCTCCATGTCTTTCAATAAATAATTAGTTTATATTAAATAGTTTGAATATTAAAAGTTTTTGAAAATTGCATCAATTATTGTAAATTTTAATTGAAATGAGGAAATTTTTTCATGTATAAATTATGTTATGATAAATAAATGTTAACCGCATTAAGCAAGCGTTTGATAAACTAAAAGGCGACCTATCAAAATAGTTCATATGGAGAACATAATATTGTAATTATGGTAAGTTTGGTGATTTATGCGTCTTCATGGACGTAAATTGTCAGCACATTGACAGATCAGGCCAGATATTGATGTAATATACTGTCATCCATTTTATTTACAAAACATACAAAATGTAGTATTATAGTATTATAGATGCGCTTTGCATAGTAGATAACAAAAACCAGTCTGTTATAGTCAAATACTAGCATAAAATATGTATTGTACATGATTAAAGCTGCATTAAATAAAATTCTTAAAAAAAGAAATAGCTACATTTCGTTAATTAAATGTGTTTCATATTGACTCCCCTTCTTATTTTGGTGTGTCCAGACAACCAAAATGAGTATTATAAGCCTTAAAGTCTGCATTGTGGCGAAATTGGAAGTACAAATTCTCTTTGCATGAGACACTCTTCCTTTGCGTGACCCATACGTCAATGAAAAATCAACGAAACATTTTTAAGTAGCAGTCAGAATTAAATGGTATATTTCCGCATTATATTACGAATGTTTTTAAACAAATTCAATCTTTTTATGAGATGATTACTTTTTTTGGCGAATGCACCATGAAACTAAAAGGGTTAAAGTTTTTTGCACAAGAATATCTCATTTTTGCTGTGATCCACATGGTAACAATTGATTTTACTACTGTGACATAGTGCATACAGGAGCTAATAATATTGTCTTCATTTGCATGTTAAAATTCCTATACAAACTTTAGTGTTACAGTGGGGTTTCCCTTTTAAAATCATAACTTTAATATGAACACTATTTAATGAAATTTACAACAATACTGTTAAAAATGTTAACAAAACTATAGAATGCCCAGTTTTTAAGCCAACGGAAAAATATGTTTACATATTTATTTAATGTAACTTTAAATTATCAAACTGTCTGTTATAGTAAAATGGTATAAATGTGTATTGTACATTGTTAACCTATCAAATTAGATTATAAGAATGTGACAGAAACCAATCTGTACAAAAAAACAAACAGACAAAAACCAGTAAAAACAAACAAAAAATATGAATGCATATCATTTGATAAAAACACATTCAGATATCGTACAATCCTATCAACATGCATGGTTTGGCCAGTTAACAAATCAACAACCAGTTATAATTGGGTCACAGAATGTTTTTATTCTGACGTAAAGTGTTTACAAAAAGTATTTGTACAGGTCACCGACCGATATAAAGGGGTTTAAATCTCATCAATTGTTCACACAATAAATATAAAAAGCAGAATTACTGTTCTAATGTAATGTGACCACAAAACAGCAAATAGTTGTTACAACCTGGGGAAATTACTATACAATAGTCTGGAATCAGTGTCATAACTTATATCATATGGTGTAATGATTTAAGTTTAATACTCAATTAAGAAGATAATTGCCTCGTCCTTTCTATTGATATTGAAACTGATTTCTTATTCTAGTTTAAACTAATTATTTTATTCAAAGTTTTTTTTACACCTAAAACATTAATGATTTTAATACAGACTTTCTGTTATCAAAAGTCATTCTAAAATAAAAACTAATTTAAGGTAGACCATGGGTAATGCATTACCTCCACTTTGAAGAGTATTCAAATAGGCTAGAATCGCTTGTAAACTACATTGAAATTGAGGGGCGTGGGTTCAAACCCCAGAAGGGGCAACTTTTTTTTTCTTTTTAATATTATTTTTGTATCTCTCTGATCCCTTATGGAAGAAAAAAGGTTTGATTTAAATTACCTTTTATAATTTAATTTAAAAAGGTTTGATTTAAATTATATAATTATTTTAGGTATTTTTTTTGCTAAATAATGCCAAAATTTAAGCAAATATGATACCAGATATTTTCAAAGTTCGATAAAATAAAAACTACACGGTAAAAGTATTTTATATTTCGCATGATCAACTAATATGCCTTTGAGAAAATTTAGGCAAACTTTGAAAATAGACCCTCATTTCGATAAATTTTAGGGATATTTTGAATAAGGCATTTTAGATAGGGAAATGGTAAAATTAGTGTTAAAAGTGGGTTGGGTAGGGTAACATTTTTATACGTATTAAGAACATTTTGTTTAGAAACAAACATTTTGCTTGTGTAATGTGTTACCTGAATGTTATTATTTGTTTCTTAATAATGAGCAATAGAAAAACATTTTTTATAATGATTATATTACAGATTATTTACAGTTTCCTCATTTCTGAAAATAAGCCCTTCTAAGGGTAAAATATTTGTTCAGAAATATATCCATAACTCATAAACCACACGGTAAATTTTATTTAAATT